GGTGAACTTCTGCCCATTTTTCATCTGCACTAACCTGCCACAGTCTCCATTTCTGCCTTAAGGTTTTATCCTTATGGTAACAGCATTCTGGAGTACATTCTGATTCCTTTTTAGAGTAGGCTTTTTGATATAAATCCTTTATCGTTTTTTTTTGTTGTAACTCCATTAATCTTTCAGAACTAAACACCTCTGCCTTATCCTCTACCTGCTTAGATTTTTCCTTTATTATTTCATCAAACAGAGTGTCAGCTAGCTGGACCTCAACTCCTTCATCTTTCTCTTTTGTTTTCCCTTCCTGTTGTAATTTATGGCAGTGGGATGTTGTCACCATACAGTTCAGAAAAATTCCAGGGTATTTTCCTTTTAACTCCTCAGTTCCCTGGTTTGCTTTTGGCTTCTCCACTACAATGGGAATCACTCCCACCTGTGATTCAGCTATATCGTTTCTAAGAACAAATTGTATTCCTGGAATAGCCAATTTTTCTATCACTCCCACTGTCACTTCCCCAGTCTCGATTGGACATTCTAGCCATATCTTACACTTGGGAACATTAATTCTCTCTCCATTTATTCCACAGATTATCACTCTCTCAGACAATATTTCAGAAGGAGTGCAAATATTTTCACCTCTTACTATTAGAGATTGATCAGCTCCCGTATCTCTCAATATTTTAAATTCTTTACGTTTTCCCCCTGTTCTACCCGAGTAAACCTTACACACACAAGTGAAATCTTTAAAGAGATCGGGCACTATTTTATTATCTAGTCCATGACTAGGCTGTACACTCTCCTGCAGCTCCTCAAATTCTTTTGGGATTTCCTTCACTACCTCAACTAATCCCACTGGTTTAACCTCTTTTACCACATCCTTTTTCCCAGTACCTTTCTTAGACCACCTGCACTGTGATTTTGTGTGTCCCACCTTATTGCAGTGAAAACACCTGAGGTTTTTCTCTCTTTTCCACCCTCTTGGGTTTCTTTTTTCACATGTGGTAAACTGTTCCCAGTGTGGTCTATTTTGTTTTTCATTGAAAGATCTCCCGCTTTCCCAATTTCTATCCCTCATGGAATGAAATTGCCGTGGGAAGCTAGATTTTGATTTATGCACCAATGCGTATTCATCCGCCAACTCAGCAACTCTTCTCGCTGTTTTAACTTTCTGTTCCTCAAGACCAGTTCTTATCACTTCTGGAAGTGAGTTTTTAAACTCCTCCAGCAGAATAATATATCTAAGATCCTTATATGTCTTTTTTATCTTTAATGCTGTCATCCATCTATAGAAGTTGTTCTGTTTAATTCTTCCAAACTCGACAGAAGTCTGACCTGGTTCCTTTCTTATATTTCTGAACTGTTGTCTAAATGCTTCTGGTACCAATTCGTAAGCACTCAAAATAGCCTGCTTTACTTCTTCATATTCTCCTGACACCTCCTCTGACAGTGCTATAAACATCTCACTAGCCCTGCCTACCAACATGGTCCGAATCAACATTACCCACACAGTCTCTGGCCAGTTCATCCATTTAGCCAATTTCTCAAAGGAAACGAAAAAGACTTCTACATCTTTTTATTGAAGTTTGCTACTGTTTTCACATTTTGGATATATTCATACCAGGTCTATGGCTACATTGAGTCGATTCATCATTACCCTCCTCCTCACTAAGCCTAGCTTCTACCTTCAACCTTCATTTCCATCATGTTAAATCAACTATCCAGTCTAATTTGCAACTTCCGAAGTTCAAACTCTCTCTCTTTCTCCTTTTGTCTTTCCTCTGTTGTAACCGTGATTCAAACAGTTTCAGGTCCCTTTCCTGTTCATCTGCAATTGAGTTCTAACCATTTCCAAAGATTCTGTGGTGTTTTCAGCAAATTTAAATGTCAAGCTATTGCTGTAATTACCTCTTCTTTTCTCACAGAGAAAGGCAATCCCAGTTCCACCTTGTCTGCCAATTCCAGCAGCTTTTCCTTGCTCACCTTTCATAAAGTCACTTCCTCCACCCCCAGGAAACTCTTAGTAACCCAAAGAGCCAATACCTCACTCTTGATTTAACCAACAACAAGCAACCAAAATTAAACCGACTTTCCACTTCTCATCTAAGTTTTATTCAAAGATCTAGGACACTAATCCCAAAGTCCATTTAAATTTGCTGTGGCCTTTCATACCCCAAATCTGTCCTAATCCATTCAGATCCATTCTGACCCATTCAAATCCCGGAAAAGAACCCCTAATCTGTTATAAAGTGGACGTTGACCCCCTCTGAGAACTAAAACCAAAATACCTAAAGAGGAGCATATTGCTCTGTAATCTGTAAAAGGAGTATGAAAAGTGGTGTAACCCGCCTTTCAGCAACTTCTAGTGGTTAAACAAAATAAACCCCTGACACTCACTTTTCAATCAACAAGTAACAATTTATTTATCTAACTCTAACAGTGAACAAATTAACTAAATTATTCACAAATTGAATAAATCCCTTCTAATTACTAACTATTGCTGAATAAAACAAGATTCTAATGGTATGCTGTTCCAATAAATAGAATTCCCATGTATAAAATAACAAAGTACAAAAAACATAGAATTTAGTCTCTCAAAGTTACAGCCAGCTTACGCGTCCTTCCGAATGCTCTCTGCCTTCCCCGTCGATTCTTCTATCAGGAATATTAACTAGTGGTGCTGTTGTTACCTTCGATTTTTAGATGGCGCTTTCTCTAAGGCTTAGAGAATTTTGTGAGGGCCAGTCATCTCTTGAGAGCAATGGCTGTTAACTCTGGCAGGTGGCAGTTAGCTCTCCCGTCTTTGTCCAACTGTCCTTTTTTTTTTATACCCTCGATGACATATCAATTTATTAAACTAGGATTTGTCCTAGGTTGTCAAAATCATCAGATTTAAATTTAATTGGTTTTTGGTATCTAAGTGCCTGGTTCAATTTGATTGGCTAAATTCAAAACTTGCTGTCTTCAAAACAAAACTACTTCTTGGCCTGCTAACTGTACAACCTTTTGATACAATGTTTCACTTTGGGTGCTCACAATGTACTTTCAAACTTTCAAGCTGCTCACAGGCATTTTGTTTAAATCTCTAAGCATAGAAACACACAAACTTTTAAAGGGACCACACAATACTCTCCCACCACCACCACCCCCCCAGCATTTTCCAAACACCAAATTCTAACTTCCTGCCTCTCAATCCACAAGTACTCTACCCAACTTTATAACACTAGACAGTTCACTCAGTTCCTGACCACATTATGGCCTCAGTCCAAATATGAACAATTGCAGAATTGAAGTCAATGGGAATATGAGGGAAATCTCACTGCTTGAAGTCATACTTGGCACAAAGATGGACGGTTGCTGGAGATCAACTAATTCAATCCAAGGACATTGTTGCAGTTTTTTCTCAAGGTAGATACTTTCTTATTAACCTGTTCATAGATGTTATTACAAACTTCTGCAGCAGACAGAACTGAACAATGGCCTCCTAGCTCAGAGATAGGGGCACTACCACAGTACCACAAAGCCCCAAGTTCCTCAGGATAGAGTCCTAGGACTAACCATCTTTCACCTTCTTATGATTCCCTCCCACCATTAGTCACTCCTCAGATACTGAGGCAGACCATGTCCAAACGCAATGAAACCTGGTCAACATGCAGGATGGCCAAATAACATTTCGGCCATTCAAGTGCCAGACAATTATCATCTCCAGCAGAAAAATCTAACCATTCAATGGCATTACAATTGCTGAAACCTCACTATCAACATCGTGTGGGTTACCATGATCAGAAACTGAACATGACCATCCATATAAATAACGTGATTACAAAAACAATTCAGAGGCTGGGAATTCTGAATTAATTCACCTCAATAATTCCCAAAATCTGTCTATCATCTATAAGGTAAAATTCAGGAGAGTGGTAGAATGCTATTAGTTTGCCTGGATGGGCACAGATCCAACAACACAAGAAATTCAACATCGTCCAGGACAAAACAACCTGACTGAATGGCACTCTATCAATGACCTTAAGCATTCGCTCCCTTCAACACTGAAGTACACTGGCAGCACTGCATATTATCCAAAATATGCTATCAACAGAATCATGGGTACACTACCATCTGAATGTTCTCCTCCAAGACACACATCATCCTCACTTGGAATTATATTGTTGTTCCTTCACTGTCACCATGTCAAAATCCTAGAACTCCCTTCCTAACAGCTCATGGGTGTACCTGCACCAAACTATAGCCATGTTTCCAGGAAGTGGCATACCATCACCTTAAGGGAAATTAAACATGCACAATAAATGTTGGCCTAGCTAGTAGTGCACACATCCTGTCAACAACTAAATAAGTTAATATTTGTATGCAACATGGAATAATTTGAGTTACAAATTTAGTTTGAAAGATTGATTTTATGGTAGCATTTGTTTCTGCATTAGGATTTACAATGCATGCATGGTCAGTGACATAGGGAAAATTAGTATTGCCAGTGAATAGGATATTGGGTTGCATTTACTCACATCACAATTAACTGAACACTTCAGTGACAGCCCTGTCAGTAAGGCTAGTGTAGTTTGCCTCTGTACTTGCTAATATGGTTGCTCCAAAATGGTTTGCTGTACAAACTAACGACAAGGGCTATCTACCCCAAATAGTAAAGAGGTTGAGCAGCATGCAACAGACCAATAAGTTTCAACACCTCCTCTACCAAATATTGCAGGTTTCTTCCAAACTACTCCAGGTAGCTGAAGTGTTGTTTCAGCATACCAAAACTTGCATGATTCACTGCCTGTGTAACAAGATGTTGAGGGAATAAAAAGCTTGCATTTAACGGCAATATGTACATTAGGAAACTGGGAATCCCAGCAAAGTTGCATTGTCACTCTGCCTGCTTCTTTCTGGTTAAGACAGGATGAAATGTATCCATGATAATGATTATAATCTCACATTACTTACAGACATATTTAACATTCAATTATGAGTCTTCTGTTTAAAAAAAGAAAATGACTTACCAAAGGGTGACTGCAGATGTATGTTCAATGGCTGTCTGGCAAAACCCTGTGTGGATCACAAAGCCCCGGGAGGAACCACGAAATATTACATGTGAAAAAGGTGCCAAAGGAACTTCAAATAGCAACCCTTCAGAGCAGGAGATAGAATTCAAAACAAAATACACTGTGATTTCTTGTGCCTGCAGAGACAATGACAATCTGACTACCTCTCTCAGCAGAATTATGGTCTAAACTGCAGATTCTCCTGGACTTGTATGTGTTTACATGTGGGCAGATATGCCAGTATGGGCTAGTGTGCATAGAAGTTCATAGCTTGAAGACAGCCATTAGACATCTCTACACTGCACGTAAAGAAAGGCTCTCTCACTCTGCTTGCTAGAAGCCAAACAAGCCAGTGCAGTCACCGTCAAAAAGGAAACAGTACAAAAACCTGTTAAGGTAACTTGCTGAGCCCAGAATCTCAAAAAGAACTACAACACTACCAACATTGGAATTACCAGTATCATCCATCAGCTACAACTTCCTACATTCACTATTGGGACCATCACTATATTTTCTCATTTTTGGTTTGGAACAGATTTAAAATTCAGGATTGAACTTTGAACATCAGTTTGTTTTCTTTTAATACAAGGAGAGAACAAGAGAGATGTTTATGGGGGAACTAGGCAAGAAAGACAATACAGGCTGATTACTGCTCCAAGGACACTGTAAACAATTTGGTACCCCAGATGTTGCTATGCTCAGGGACTAACAGCTGGTTGGATGTTGAATTGGTTGATCAAGTAAGAGAGGTACTGGCCAGCTAGTCACAAAGAATGTTGAAGAAAGAGGAGAGAGAAAATAAAGAGAGAACTGGTTCTGTCTGGGTTTTGAGCAGAAGTTTTGTTTTGAAAGTTTTTGGATAGGGTTGCTTTTGTTTTGCTCTCTGGTTTCAGTTCAGTTATTAACTTGTTGAATGTTCTAAGAAGAGACGCCCAGTCTGTAAGAATTTGTTGAATAATTCTAGAAGTCTGCTGAGGCCATTTTCATTGACTGGTCACCTCAGAATTCAAGCAAGATATACAATCCTACGTGCCTATAATACAACCCATCATCCAAGAATTCATGAAGGCCTGATATTCATCATTGAAACTGTTATCGAGCTGGCAAATTACAATTCTTTTACGTTCCTTTCCAATTTAGCCGTTAACTGTGTCTGTCAGTAACAGAGTGAGGTTTAGGACCAAAGAAGATTGGGCTTAGATCATAGATATTATTTAGAATGCCTGTTGCTTATCAATGTTCTGTTAGAAAAGTTACATTATTAATAATAAATTGTTAATTTTTGTTTTAGTTACAAATTTGGTGCCCAACAGTCATTATTCCATGAAGTCTGGTTGGGAACAATTGAGCAAATTTGAGGATCAATAAATGTTTTAATTACACTTTGTTGCGAATCCTGTGATAGCGAATTGATTTTGTTTGGCTTTCTATCCCTGTGTCATAACAGCATGCTTCATAAAACTGGTTTGCATGTCTTTTTAACTGTAATTTGTTACGCAAATCATATTTCTAATCTGTGTGTGCATCATGTTTATTATCTTGCCTGGTTTTTAATAGCCAATAAACTTTAACTTGGTAAATTGGCTCCCTTTTAAATAAACACATTCAGATTGGGAAAAACAAATAGCCACATATGAGAGAGGTTCTTTTTTAAAGGAATCTTAAGACCCCAAATTAAAACGAAAACCAGTTCATCCCTCCTTACTTGGGAATATAACAATTTAATCCAATCATAATGATTTGGGGACCGTCATTACAAATGTAGTCAATCCTCAACAAGCAGTAAGAGTGAGAATGACCTCCCTCATACAGCACATGGCAAACTGAGGTGCAACAAATGTCTCCAGCTCAAATGCTCATTGCCACAGTCACCTTGACTGCTACTGGGAATGTAATCCTTGCATTGATCTGATGTTGCAGTTGTGACTGAAGCAGGTGACAGATTTCAGTGCACTCATACCACTTTGAGATGAAACATTACAGGTCAATTGACTCAACCTGGACTCAGCTGAAACAACTTTAACCTAATTCTTCTCAGGGAGGAAACTGCTGAAACTGGATGCAATATCAAGTAGAGTATTAAACGGGTATTTCACGGATCATCCTCTCAGCTTTAGATTCAGAGTACCCCCAACATTTCCAGATGCACGTGAGAACTGGTGGCCCTATTGGTAAATGTGGAGTCAGGGAAAGAGTCCTGTCAATAATAAAAGTGGACAACAGTCACACAAATTAGAAAAAAAAAGTGATCTGCTGAAAGTCTAAAAGATCTAAACAGTTTAGATCCTTGTTGACTAGACTGACTGAATGCAAGACAATATATTTTCTCAGATTACACAAACTAGTACTATTTTAATTAGCATTGGTCGTCTCATCGTGTGATGAAGTAATAGGAAGCATGAACACATCCCTTATTACGTTGGTATCTCATTACGTGATTAAGTAGGAGGAAGTATGACCCATCCCTTATCATAAGGCACAAGGGACTGTTTATGGGAGAAAATAGCACTGCTGAGCCAGCCACTATACACAAGACAAACCTGAAAACTGTAATACCAATTCAAAAGAAAAGATACTGAATAGACAGCCACTGCCTCAGGGGTAAACATTCCTACTTGCCACTACTTAATCAAGATTTGATTAAAAATATGCACTTTTCCTCAGAATATTGATACATTGGAATAAATAACAGTAGTTCCTCAGCATTTGCCTACATTAAAGCAGTAGAGGACAGACAACTAATTCATGGTAACAACAAAAAAAAAACAGGGGGTTTCCAAATTGCCAGCCAAGGCCTGCAGTCAAACACTGTAAACAAAAATTCAGTCACCTTGAAATATCTTGCAATAGATGTGTAGATAGCAGACTGAAGTTAAACACTTCATTGCCCACTAATGCTACACATGTTTGAATGTGCTTTTTGTTCACCCTGAATACTGGCAATTTGCATGGCTCATGTTGTAATGATCAATGTAAAATCCATTTCCAAACAAGTTACTGTGGCATACAAGACAGACAGACAGCTCCTGTACCAAAGAATCTCAATCAGTAATTTTGGGCCAACAACTGGGATCCCATTACTTCCATTCTTAATTACACCTTTTCTGCAAAAAGGAAATATTCAAGGACTTTAGTTCCCCAACCTTACAATCCAGCACCTCACCTCCTCCCATTTTAGGAATGTAACCTTCAAAGGGGTGGGTGGAATCTGGGATTTTTGTGAACTGAGCAAACAATCATAAATTCATAGAGATATACAGCACAGAAACAGACCCGTCAGTCCAACTCATTCATGCCAATCAGATATCCGATATAAATCCAGGCCCATTTGCCAGCATTTGGCCTATATCTCTCTAAACCCTTCCTAATCACATACCCATCCCAATGTCTTTTAAATGTTGTAATTGTACCAGCCTTCACCACTTCTTCTGGCAGCTCATTCGATACACAACCACCCTCTGCACGAAAAAGTTGCCCCCTAGGTCCCTTTCATATCTTTCCACTCTCACCATAAACCTATACCCTCCTGTTTTGGACTCCCCCAACCCAGGGAAAAAAACCTTGCCTATTTACCCTATCCATGCCCCTCATGATTTTATAAACCTCTATAAGGTCACCTCTCAGCCTCCAACGCTCCAGGGAAAATAGGCCCAGTCTATTCAGCCTCTGCCTATAGCTCAAATCCTCCAACCATGGCAACATCCTCTTAAATCTTTTCTGAACCTTTTCTAGATTCACAAATCCTTCCTAAAGGAGGAAGACCAGAATTGCATGCAATACTCCAAAAGTGGCCAAACCAATGTCCAGTGCAACATGACCTCCCAACTCTAGTACTCCATGTACTGACCAATAAAGGCAAGCATACCAAACACTTTCTTCACTGTCTTATCTACCTGTGACTCCACTTCCAAGGAACTATGAACCTGCACTCCAATGTCTCTTTGTTCAGCAACACTCTCTAGGAACTTACCATTAAGTGTATAAGTCCTGCCCTGATTTGACTTTCCAAAATGCAGCACCACATATCTAAATCAAACTTCATCTGCTACTCCTTGGCCCATTGCCCCATCTGTTCAAGACTCCGTTTTACTTTGAGCTAACTGTCTTCGCTGTCCAATACACCTCCAATTTTAGTGGCATCTGCAAACTTACTAACCATATCTCCTATGTTCACATCCAAATCATTTATATAAATGACAAGAAGTCTCACCAAAATCATTAGGTCTAGAATGATTAAGGAATTGGACAGAATCTGAACCAGGAAAGCGTCTGTTAAAATAGTTAACTAAATGCCAAATCAGATGCAGGAAGCAAAATGAGGGAAGGAAAGACAGATGTTAGAGAAATAAGAGTGAAATGTTTCTTTAAAACAAATAAGTTTTTAAATTATTTCTAATTAGATGTCCAAATACAATGAAAATTAGATGAAAACAAAAGCTAATTTTCAGTGTTACAGGAGTCTGTTGTGCAGTAATTAACAACCTGCTGTTTAAAAGTTGTTGCACTGCATTGGACTGGCAGCATTTTTCCTCGCAGGTTTAGTGGTGTCATATCTCAAGCATTGAAACTCCATGACCTTCCATTTATTTCAATGTCAAATTTCTCAGTGGCATTCCCGTATAGTGACGTGATCAGAGGAGGCAAATTTAGATAGTAACTGATTACCAGTTTTAACTGTACATATGCAGGCACCAGAAATTGCTGTCCAAATTACTTTTGTTTTCAGTCTAAATCTGAGCTGTAACTTTTTCATTACCTTGATTAATCTAACCACAAGCCCTTGAGGTTCGAGAAACAGCTAGGGGAGTACCACCGATCAGAAAATAAACTGGACCAGTCATATAAATAAACGGCTACAAGAGTATGTCAAACATTGGGAATTCTGCGACAAGTAACCCACCTACTGACTCATGCCCGAGAAACAAAGACTAACGAGATAGGGTGCTACAACACTTTGCAAAGATACCTCAAAATACTCCACAAACTATTCAAGCAGGACCCAACTGATGAAGAAACAGAGTGATTAATTCTGAAAGACAGTAAGAACTGCAGATGCTGGAGTAAGAGAAAACACAGCGTAGAGCTGGAGGAACACAGCAGGCCAGGCAGCATCAGAGGAGCAGGAAAGTTGACATTTCGGGACGGGACCCTTCTTCAGAAAATAACCTCAGCAATAACCTGCTTAGTGACACCAGTTTGGGTTCCACCAGGGGCACTCAGCTCCGTACCTCATTGCAGCCTTGAATCAAATATGGACAGTAAAGTTGAATTCCAGAGGTGAGGTGAGAGTGACAGCCCTTGACATCAAG